AAAAGTGTTAATTAGTTTTGGTGCAATGTTTATTTGAACGAAAACCAATAGTATAAGCACTACCGTGAAACAATCGTAATTAAATGATGATTACACATGTATTATATTAATAATAATGTACAACTAAAAATCCATTGGAATTTAAAGTAATATATTTTATTAAAGTTAAACTTTGATTAAGATTTCACCAAAAATAATAAATAATTATATATATACATATTTTTTAAATCGGTTTTTTCATGCTTTAATGATATTTCTTATGTAATTCGCGCTTTAAATCTGGACATATTTTTTAAACATTCATTCGTTTACTAGATTTTTATTATTATTATTAGTTGTTTAATATTTTTACTTCGTATCTAATGATCATTTATTTTAATAATGTATTATTTTTAGTAATAATGCATGTTTGGCGGGGGGAGGTGGAGGTCGTCACTGATACAACTTGCCGCTGTCACGGAGACGTAACTGGCTCAAGTGCAAGTGTTGCGATTACGTAAGTAGGTCGTATCGCGGCTTGGCGGCGCGCGCGCAAGCGCATCGTGTTGGTCGTTCCGTTCTCGTGCCCAGCACAACGGCGTTAGCATTGCGACCCATTATTATAATATGACTATACATCAGGATTTCTTTCGCGTATTCCTTCTCCACTCTGCCTCCCACTCGTTCAACCCTCCTGAGTTATCTGATTACCTTACATTATCCAATAATTTAATTAAAAAATTATCTGACCGTTGAGGCTGGAACAATGTTGGGTGTTTTTGTTTTACTTTTATGAGTTGTTTATCGATTGAATTTTATTTTGTCGGTTCATTAAATAGATTTCAAACTTATTAAGAAACAGAGAAAATCGTTTTTACCCAGTTTTAATCATTCAACGTATTTCATTTTATTATAAGTCTAATACTATACGCGCGTGTCAAGCCTTCAAAACTTTTCAATGTGCAGTTAGTAATGTTTGACTGGCGGTGGTCTCTCTCACTTTTCTACCGGTGAGATCACACTACATTGTATTAGTGTGTGTAAACGTTACTGAATGACCTTATGTGAGCATATAATACTATGTGCTAGCATTATCTTATTAGGTTTCTATCGATTATGCCATTTAGCGGTTTTTCGTTTATGCTTTCGACTCGATACGTTGGAATAATACTTGCAATCCAATACGGTAAAACCTTTGGTGTATTAGCGTTAACGGCATTATTGTCTCAGTTGAAAATTTCAAATAGTCTCGGTCTCCATCTCTTTATGCCGTTTGTCTGAATTAATTTTTACAATTTACTTCGAAATTATAACCTAGATACATTTTTTAACTCAACTATTTCTTTTAAACGCTTGACTCAGTTAATTGGTAAAAATAAATTAACAACCACATAATGCTATATGATTATGATCGATTTATTACTTGATTAACTGAGATAGTTATATAACTATACATCAATATGACAGACACTGTCATATTGATAATTAATTTAAGTGCTCTTAATCGAAATATGTGAAAAGGAGAATTGGGACAACATAGCTTTTTTTATTTAGTTAGATTTGTGTATTTACGCAGTTTCATTTGAAAAATATTCGTTTTGTTAGCAGTTATCTTTTGATTACTAACCGGATACAATGACTGATTTACTGCATTAAATAATCAATAAAATACTCTTGCGTTGAGTTTTAAGTATGAACCTTTATGACATTTATTGCCTTCTGGTTAAGGAAAACAACAATAACAATAATAATGTATCTTCAGTACGCAGCCAGATTAATAATAGTCACTATTTATACTCGCTAATTCTACAAATGTGTTTTGCCAATTTTTTTCAATTTGCTCTTCTTATTTGCCGATAAATTTCATACATATAGATAGCCCCTCCGCGGTTTTCATTTGGCATTCGTTATCGATCTCTGTGCAATGGATTGGCGATTCATACTGTCAGAAGTATGTACGTTATATTATTGCGATTATTATTATTATTTTTTGTTTCTCTTTGACGACTGATAAGAAAATAAGAGCACACTCGTCAATCTAGGTCAGTAGGACGACGCATATGCCATAATCCATACAGAATTAAATCAACTGAAGCTGAAATGATCTATATGCTCGGTGGAAGTTTCACGCGTTCAACATGCACATATAATATGTAAAAAATATCCACAAATTCAACTCGTGGTCGACACCGCCGGCCTTTATTAACCGGACATAATATTTTTTGCGCGATATTTGACTTGTGTCGAGAACTTTTTGGTCATTTTTTTATGGAACCCACATAGTTTTTTTAATCGTTTTATGTTCATATGAAATATTATTAAAGTTAGTTTCAAAACCGTTCACATGATAAACCTGTGGGAAATAGGTCACCTTAACTTAATTACGCTATTCTTCATATTATTTTTTCATTATTGCCCGAAACTTGGAGGTTTCGTTTATTGTGTGTGGGATACTTCATCGAGTGAGATATCGTAGTGATTTGAATAGTGTTCTTTCATTTTAATAACCCTTTCAACTCTAGCACCTGTCGGCACGACCTCTTATAGGTATCAGGTGACGGACTGCTGTTGCATGTTTTCGATGAAATTCAGATGAAAATAATAGAAGCATTTTTGAATAAAGGGGAAAATTTTTATCATAAAAACAATTGTCAAGGTGGTAGGTAATGATGTTTTTAACGAGATGGTTGTTGAGATGCTATAAGACTTTGTTTTCTCCCCATGGGAATTGGGTCAGTAAGGGGGTGTTGACAATAATAACACCTAAAAAATGCTGCACGGAAATATCTATAATAATTACCGTTAATACATAACATTTCAATAAACCCTCGTTAACGTAAAAAGGAACCGAGAATAAAAATATTTATTATCCTTTGCGTTTTTTATTCCATAAGAACATTTTTTTTTCATATTTTTTTATTTGATCGATCACATAAATTTTCAAATCATGATATCACTAGATTGATCGGGTTAACCGCACATATTGATATGTATTTTTTAAACATTATTTAATATTAATATAATTTATTATAATTATGTATATTTATTTAGTTGATCGCTCATAACTAGTTTTGAGTACTATTAGCCCCAAGTTGCATAGTATGCAAGTGGTCTTTGTAGTAATGAATATTGTTCATAAATTATGTTATTAAATATTCTGATGTAACCAATTATTTGAAATATCAAGTCAATTATATTAATTATTCTAATGTTTTATTGACCATTTTAATTCGTATGTATTAATTACATTTATTCCAAAATAATGAGCTTCCCAAAGTATTTATTGTACATTCCATCCATACATTAAAGTTTTTTAAATAAATTACATACGGTGATATGTTTGAAAAATTAATAGTAAAACGTTACTTTTGGAGTTCTATACAAGTTAAACGGCAAAATAAAAGAGGAGGTTCTCTTAGGGTGAATGAATGTGCTTAAAAATGTACTCCGAAATAGTGAAATCTTTAAACGAACTGAAGAACGGCTCGTGATGCTGAATTCGTGTTATGAATTTAGACATTTGCCCTATTGGACGCGTATATCCGCCAAAAACTACTATTACGGTAATAGTTATGTTAATTATGATATCTTTTTTTCTATCAAACCTGTTTATTGCATCCGAGTAAAATAATATTAGTTAATTATTATTATAGAGACAACCTTGAGGTGAGACGCGCGTATCTTCGCTTCACCCCTCTCGGAGCTTGCACACATCTATACATAAATAATATTGCAGTGAATATACACAACGGGCGCGCGCGCGTGTATTTGTGTGTGTGTGTGTGTGTTGGATTCATTGTGGACACACACACACACACACACACACATAGACATACACACACATAAGAATTGAAAGTAGGTCATTGAGATCCCCTCCATTCCCCGCGACACCTCGCGGACGCTGCCGCCGCCACCGCCACTGCCTCCTCCTGCTCGTATACCGACACCACCACCACTGTCTTTTCCACCGTTACCGCCGCCGCACAGCCATTACGCGTTTTCCCCCACCCTGAGTCCGGCCCCGTCACTTTCACTTGTTTCAGCCGTTTCGGTGTGCCGTCCGTGTCAGTGTGTCTGTGTGTGTGGTATCCGATCTTACGGCCACGGTTAACTCGACTCTACACCGAAGTTTCGTACATGTGTTCGTCGAGTACGCTCCGTCCTCTCTCTTGGACATAGTTTTTATTTCTGATAAAATATTTCGTTTATTTTTCTATTCGATTTAATAAAAATATTTTATTTATATTGCGCTGTGTTTCTGGAGATCGTTATTTAATTTTTAAAAATTTAATTTCAAAAATTTATTCGTTTCGGTGGTGGCGCGCGCGTTCTAGTGTTGTCCGCCGCGTTTAGTAATACCAGTAGTGTGTCCCCTCTTTCCCACCGATCCGCCGGTGCGTGTGTTCGGCGAGCCGCAGCGATTGCGTTTCGTCGTCGCTCGATTCAGTCTCAGTGACGAAATCGGACCGGCCGTGTTATTGTGTAAACGGGTCTCGCCGCTAACCTGTGTAATAGCCTAGGACATGACGAAAGCCGACGGCTAGCCCCCGCGTGCGCGTGCTGTCGTTGCGTTCCGTCGGATTTCCGGCGAATCGACCTGAAAATTTCGCCGTCCGTCCAACAAGGATCAGTATAACACGTTTTAATTACATCGATTGGATATTGTATGAGATTTAAATTCCTAGACCGCGTAATGGTCTATTTGTCTTCTTCGTGACATACAGCAAATATATCCAGTGGGGCCCTACGGGAGGCCCCGTACGTGCGTCTTATGTTAGCAACCGGCATGGATCATTCGGCCAGTTACCTATCACACTTTGGCCTTAGTCCGCCACAGGCGTCAGGCGATGACGGCGAAGATTCGCTGTATCAGCCACCTGCCTCTTCACCACCCCTTTACCAATACCAAATGCCACCCCAGCACCAAACGCCCACGTCCAGCGCTTACTCGATGATGGGCGGTGGAGGAAATCAGGGTTGTTATCAGTTGGATAACACAGCTTATTTATTCGGTTCTACAGGTAGCAACGGCGGCGTGTCCGGATCTATGGACGGACTTCAACAGTACGTGACTGTGAATACGGCCGGCGGTGGAACTCCCGTGTCTGCGACCACCATCAACCCGTCTGCCAGTTCCGAGTTGCCCGACACCAAAGAGGGCATCGAGGAACTTTGCCCCGTTTGCGGAGACAAGGTGTCCGGTTACCATTATGGCTTGCTCACTTGCGAGTCGTGCAAAGGGTTTTTTAAGCGTACCGTGCAGAACAAAAAAGTTTATACGTGCGTCGCTGAACGATCCTGTCACATAGATAAAACTCAAAGGAAGCGATGCCCGTTCTGTCGGTTCCAGAAGTGCCTCGAAGTCGGCATGAAACTAGAAGGTTAGTATTTTTTATTTTATTCATGCATGCTGCTAGACAGATAATACAAATTCAATGTAGCAAAGGAGAGCCAGTGTTTTAAACGATGTTGGGGTCGTTTTCATATCGAAATGTGTTCCTTTGATGGCAAAAAAAAATATTGTCACCGATGACTTTTTGACAATTATATGAGAGCTTTTATGTTTTGCTCGTACAATTTAAAAAATGATGCTGATATGTATGTTATATAGATAGCCGAATATCTCGAGACCGATTGGATTTTTTCAATTTGATTCAAATTAATCTTTTACTCTCAGAGAAGTTAAATATATAAGAAAATTATAATACAAATTAATTAATTATAATACCTTACATTCTTAGAGTTACGTTTTTTTTATTCGAGTATTTTAAAATATTTGCTTAATTTTGAGACTGAAAATTGTTTTATTAAAATCGAAGCCTTAATTTTTAAATATGTTGCTAATTTAGTATTTTTCGTTTAAATTTATATAATATTATGTGAGTTGACTGTGAGCAATAGAAAATTGTTGGGTTTGGGATTTGAATTGCACATTTTATTTGATTTTGTGTGAATTGCAGCCATTAAACTCTTTCGCGATAAACTATATTTTTTTACTATTTACAATCCACACTGAATTGAATTAAAATTACATCTAGTGTAATTTGTACGATGCGTACGGTTTGTTGATAAATGAAAATTGCAATAGAAACTCCATCGATAGTTTTTCGTTGTTTAAATACTTTGGTAAAATGACGGCCCAATTTTAAACAGCAACAACTAAACAAATAATTACAATTACGAGTTGTCTATTTCATGTACACTATTCACGACATATTTTTAAATTGTTAGCAAACAAAAATGCTTATTTATGTCTATGCAATTTTTAACTGGGGCGCCATTAAATAAAGTACTTTTTTTTATTGAAAATGCGGGCTACATTAGCGTATCAATGTCCTTTTTGAGCTTTTCAAAAGAAAATATAGAATTGAGTAAATTGCATCTTTTCGGAGTAGAATTATATTTATTTCAATAAACATAAATTAAATTTGCCTCTTGTTAGTAATTCCCAAAGGAAATAATATCACTTGAGAAAAGTTTAAAGTCACGGCCTCTTCACTGATACGCCTTTAGTCAACATGCGACTTTTGTGTTTTTTTTTTTACCTTTCCCGTTAGTCAAGTAAAATTAACTCGATTTCTATGTACAATTGCTGATGGATTTGAATGTGTGTAGTACAAGGTGTCTAATGAAATAATCGTATTGGGTTGAAGTGGCGCGACGGTGCCGGCGTATCGATTAACATTGTTTTGTATGCACGACGACAGGTAAAATTCGCGCCACAAAAATACCTAATAGTACAACAATAAAACCATGTATATATTTGTAGTGTTGACATAAACCCATAAACAACGTAACGTAGAAAGCCTTAAACCCTAGTTAATCCTTATCATCCTTAGATATGGCAGTCGGTAACATGACATTTGTGTCTTTGATGGCGTTTTTCAATTGCATAATTTTATCTTGTTTCCAAATACAATAGGTCCTAATCGATGATTTTCATTTGACTTACGCGTTTGGATAAAAAATCGCGGTTTTTTTAATCAAGTAATTTATTCTCATCCGTTCTTTGCGACCGCATTTGAAGAGATTAAACGTTACATATTCATTAGATACGTTTATGTATACATTGTTCGAATCGTTTTATGGCGAACAGCAATAATACTTTCATGTGGAATTCTACGTTGGTAGTATGTAATGAACCAAGTTTAAAAAACGTTCAAGTGCGGGAAATATTTCGTAAGGCACGAGTAACTTTGTTTTAATGGATTTCTATGATTGAACTTGCAGTTAATGTGTATTTTATTTTATGCATTTAATTAAAATAATAATAATAATAATTACTAATTATGTTAACTTCTCTAGCGGCTGATGATTTCTGTGCTAATTTAAACAGATATAAAAAAACCAGTATCGTTTTGTAATCCATAATAAGCAATAGGTTTATAATATTTATAGAGAGTATTCATGTAAAGATAGTTTAGATAAAAAAAACTCGGATTTTCTGTTCTATGGACCGAATCCGTGTCAAGATCGTCAAGATTTCCTCAGTGCCCCCCTCTCATCTTCGCTTTCCACCATTCTTCCATGACATCATATATACACACTATTATATTATTACTATTTTTTTTTCTTTTTTTGTACGCTATTATGTTACAAGGCGATTCGTCCCACCTCTCCGGTAGACCATTGAATACTAATACACTATTATTATTACGTTGTAATGATAATAATATTATTAATGTATTTATATATGACGTATGCTTCTTTTATAAAAAAAATGCCGTTCAGTTTTTTTTTTTTTAATCTATTTGAAAATAAATCACGAAAATTTAACCGACCACTGAACAGTCTGCGTGTCGATAACTTTTTATCATAATATAGAGTCGATTTATGATATGTAATTGCTTGGATAAAATGTGTCGAGTTTAATATGTAAAAAATATTCGCTTATGTAGGAAGCTCTGGTGTGTATTGCTAGGGTACCTAATCAGCTGAGAGGCTTGCAAATTAACCTAATTCCACACCAGTGGCATTTGCCATACGACAAGTGGACTGATACGCAAACGCGCCGCTAATATCGCAGTGTGTATTGTATAAAAAACAACACTTGACAATGTGCACCGTGCACGTTGTTTTATTGTTATGACGTTGGTGTGCGATATTGAGATATTGATATGATATTCACAAATAGATATTCAGCGTATGAGTACTGTGTACAACACTCGCAATCTAGAGTATTTTATCTTTGTATTTCCCTGCATGAAATGTTATAATACTGTTCACCAGTAAAAAACAACTCGTACGTCGACTTCCGTTTATTTTACCCACCGAAACGCATACAAAGCGGCATTTGATGTTCGATACACACAACACATTTTACTGATAATCGCGTTCGGAAATCCTGTTTTCCGTGCACAATACCGTATTATTATTTATTACATTATTTCATATCGGCGGTCAGAGATTGTTTATAGCGATGTAATCCGCCGTTAATTGTGCACGTGTGACGTTAAAAAATACTTTGGGTGAAAATAATTAGAACTCCTCATTATTGTGTTGTGTACTGTATGAGATAAATAATTGGGAAAATTAATATCTAATAAAATGTTAAATATGTAGTTAATCATTTTGTATATATTGGAGTGCTTAAAAAGATATACTCTGCACGATTTTCCGTTCAATTACTGCTCTATCTTTGTTGTGGATTCCCGAACACGCGAAAGCTTCGCGGTAATGACATTAGTTTTGGACATTACTACTGTCACTGAATAAGAAAAACAAAAGGATTTAGTCCACCTGTGATTTGTAACCGCAAACGGTGACGGCGTCGTGTTCATCCATCCAAGAGGCGGCGGTGACAGTGACGGCAACAGTTGTGCAAACCCTGTGATTCGTTAACGAACCATTAATAATTTGCTGCAAAAGTATTAGTATTTAATCGCACCACAACAGTGTACAAAGGAAATTGGTCGGCGATTTCACTTGCACAGCCACCGAACACGGATCGGGTTGTACATTTTGTGTACACATCAAACCAGTAAAAAACCAGTGGCCAAATGTATCTACGAAATTGCACAATAGTACAGTTCAATTATCATATGGTTGTTGTCTCCCCTCTGTTTTGATAGTTTTTCGAACACGAATCATTTTAATTACATATTTATGTATACCATTCTTTTTAACCCCTGGCACATGCGCGCTAAAATTTAGATTATCATAACATACGACTCCAATACAGACATCGCAGCTTGCACTGTGCGAGTATATACACAGTGTTGCGATCGCCAGCAAACACACACACACGCACACATAAACACACACACACACACACACTTGGCGTTTCGCAACGCGCTCCTTTAATTAGGGTCCCGGCGAGTAGGTCACACAATCTCCGCCCAACGTCACCCCGCGCGCACCGCGTTGGCCCAATTGCACCGCCGCCACAATGTTCTCTATTTGCGTGTAATATATTTCAGTATTACTACTACATATTATTATTCCACCACATATTATACTTGTTCAATCCCGCGCACGATCTCACCGTAAGCTTGCCGGTACTCATTATTAATATTTTTTTTGTTTTCATAAATAACTTTTGGTACTATTCGTACGGCTCTAAAGTTGCTTATTATTTTGTACGTTGTGTTGTGTTGCAACGCCGTTGATATATTCGGTGTCGTTTGTAGACAAACGTCCGTACGGAATACTAAAAACAGACCTGGTCGTTAACTAATCCGTTAAAAAGCTCGACAACTGCGTTATTGTGTTTTTTGATATTCAATAGTAGAAAACTCGCTCACCGGCGGTCTGGTTCCAAGTGATATTACAATAGACACGTACCCGCCGATGGCGTTTGACTACATAGCCGTAGTGCGACGGGGGACCGGTTTTTTCCCCCCGAAGACGTTACAGTGGGACTATGATTTTTCACCGCCAAAACTTCTTATCCTACTCTCTACTCACAAACTCGTTAACTATTCATATCAGTAGCTTGGTAAATATCTTGTATATTAACGACAGTTAATGCTCTAAAATGTGTTTAATTATTCTTGTTTTGTTGCATCGTTGTGGCAATCGAACGATGTGTGTCGTTTGCGCGTCCGCGGTGTTGTAAGCGCCCCGGCTAATGTACACAAAAAACAAATACCTATGAGTTATGGGTATTATGATGCATGCAATAATAGCATAACAACTTGGGCGATGTTGTGTAAAAGTCATCCGATTATCGAAGGCGTTAAGCGTTGTTGCGCTGCTGTCTGTACGTTTCTCTGTTTTGTTTCAAACCAGAATCCACCGTTGTTTTCCGATAGCCATTCGGTTATCTTTAATAGACGTTTCGTCGTCGTGGGCGTGTGTAACTTTGGGAGCACAATTCGAGTTTGGCGCCAAATCGTGTGTTTTTTGCACTTGACTGACCTAAATTGTTGAGTTATCGTCG